GACATATAAATGCTGTTTTGATCATTGCAAACTGCTATTTGTGGTGCAGTGTTTTAGTTATGAGATGTAGAAAAATTTATCTGCCTTTGCAGGTGTGTACTCAAAATGCTATTTCAGGGCAAGTAGTGCTATAGTATTTTTCTGAGAGATATTGATTGATTTATTACTACAGGCATAATGAGTGAAAATCCATACAGCTGCTTCCCTGTACATCTGTGGTAGTTTCAGAGTTTTTAGAATATAATTGACAGACAGAAGTAAGATCCTGATGTACTCAGCAAACCAGTGTTCAGAGCTATGCAACATCTTCTGCCTTCGTACCAAACAGCCTTGGTCTTTAAAAGACTATACCTGCGCACTTGCTCAGTTCCGTATGCTTTTTATTCTCCCAGCATATTTCAGTCTTGGGTTCTTGCAAGGTTGTGTTTCTGTAGGCTGCATTTAATTTCAGCTGATTGCCCAATCCTCTCTTCCTTCTGTGGTAATTGGTTTTTGAATTGTCTCAAATTCTCCAATGGATTTACAACAATCTGAAAATTAACAATGGCCCCTTAGTTGCACAGGGCTATGTAATTCACAAAGTTCTTACTTGACCGATACTTCTTTTCCCCTTACTTCCAGCCAGGCAATCTTCTGTGCTTTTTAAACTGGTGCAGAGGCAGTAAAATGTCTATACATTGAAACTTTCTCCTCCTGGCACTCCATCACTTGGAAGGCAATCTGAGGCTTTTCCATAGGCTGATGTATTGGCAGTAACTTAAAAAAACCCCAAAATATAGAAACATGATTTTTGATTATGCTATAAATTGGGATTATTTCCTTCAGGCAGGCGGAAGGACATGCCAGATGGACTTTATGTGTTGGCTGTTGGAAAGCTTTAGGAGCCAAAATTATAATTAGCTCGCTCCTATTGAAATATGTTCTCCCTAGCTGTATGATTTTTTTGCCAGAGACTGATACAATTCTTGAAAGGTGCAGTTCCCCTCAGCACAGGAAATATGCATCATTCTGTTGGCATTAACCAACACCTGTGCAGTAACTGTTGCAGTGCTTGCATGGGGAGGCCATACGTGGGGCTCCCTGGCACATTTCAGGTGTGTGCCTGTGCTGCAGGGACTGGTGCAGAGGGGATGCACTGGCTGGGACTGCTCAGTGCAGTAACTGCAGGGGTCTACACTCCAGGCAGATGGGGTATGAATGGCTCAGAATTGCAGGAAATTCTTCCAAACACCAAATTTGAAGAAAAGCAGGACTGTTCATCAACAAACCATCAATGCAAGAAAGTGGCTTGTTCAGCAGCACCTAGTTTTGCGTGTTGTAAAGTGGTACTTAAGTCATGCCATTGAGATCCAGCTGCCACCTACACTAAATGTAAGTAAGTGATGGGAGTGAAGGACTTGTAGGTACAACTGAAAGAAACTTTATCAAGGAACTTTGACAGGAAACATGGACTACAGCACAGGATGCAAAAATCTGCCAGACATTATGCGTGGCTTACTGGGGCAACTGAAGCCTCACTAGGACAGTTGAGCACGCCAGTGAGAGTAAAGCTAATCTGGGAATGTTTTCACTCACCCCCTTCTGCCACTCTTGGCATAGATGTGTCCACTATGAGACCTGGTCCATACCTTCTGTAGCTCACCGGAGTTGAGAATGCGAATGAAGGACACAGAGGCAGGCAGTGTAACAAATGAGATCTCATAACAAGTCAGACACAGCACTGCAAACAGGATCCAGATTCTCCTGTTTCACAGTTCAGTGCCATCCAATGGTTCATTTTAGTTTGAGCTGAAATTGTAACTAATTTCCCCCATACTGTTTGGACTGTTTATTTGCAAGATGATTATTTAATCTTATTAGAGGTGGTAAAATGCTTTCACTGGAAGTTCTCTCAGGTTCTGTTTGGTCGATTCCTTTTACTTGCATGTGTTCCTTCTCTCTGTTGTGGATGCTTACCAGTTAAGGGGGCAGTTTCTCAAAACGAACCCATTCTTGAATTACATGTTGTATATTCATTTGATTACTATGATGGTTCCACAGTTGTATATTTTGAATAGTTTTGTTTTGTTTTGTATAAAAGACTCTTTTCCAACTCTCCATTTTACTACTTTCTTCCCGAAGGAATATAAAACTTTCTTTAGGAACATCTTTTATTTTGGCTAAAAGACTCAGATGCTAGAACTTTTTCAGATAAAGTTCTAGCACTGGGGAAAAACAAAGAGGGAGTGTTCCGAGTACAAGATGATGTGTCCCTGCGAGAGCCGCAGACGGCTGGCAGCTGTGGATTAGCGGCTCTTCCCGCTAGCAGGGCCGGGCAGAGGGAGCCGCCCTGGGCGCGGGCACGGGGTGTCCGGCAGGGGCTGCAGAGGGCCCTCACCGCGCAGCCCACGGCACAAAACGGCGTTTGAAACAGGACAAAATACGTTGCTTTTATTTGTTATATCAACGTGAAACCCTATGTGTGTTCATGAATTAGCTCATGAAGTGGACAGCCTCTCTTCAGTTTGAGTTCCCTGATTGGTTTTGAAACTGATTATTTGCAGACACAAGAAACACATGGAGAATCATATTCTCGCAGCTGCAAATCAATTTGGGTATTTTGGTAGACAAAAAGAAGAAATTCCAAGCTAGAGTAGAAGAAAGTAGAAAAAATTAATGGACCGCTTACTTTGAAGGCAAACTTTTAACTTACTCTATGAGGCTGATAGTAAGCCAGCAAGTTTTTTCCTGGATGTTGGACCCGATGCAAGTTTCTTTTTTTAAAATGCTCTTTGTTTTTCATTTGTTGAAAGATTAGGGAAAAAATTGTGCTTACAATGCTTGAATTGAAAACTTACTAATATTAGTAATATTCAAAGGGGCAGTGAAATGCAGATTTGAGTTCTTAAGTAACAGACATCCTGTATTTTAGTTTTGCTTAGGTTTCTGAATTCATCCTAATCTCAGTTACCATCTCTATCTTTGCTTTGCTTCACAGAAGAAGAATGAATACTACAGAGTGCGCTACTACCAGATAACACAGAGTCACTGAACAGAACAAAATGTTCATAACTAGAACTCTAGAAAGTAAGCATGAAGTTGTGTTACTTGAAAATTACTGTAGTTTCCATGGTGAAAAATATAGAAGGATTGTAATACAGTTTGTAACTTCTATAAAATGTTTTATTTTGATGGACCATTTTCTGTGTTTTGAAATCAATTAAATACAAATGAAGGGAATGTGGTAACAAATATGGATGGGGTAACAACCTGAAACTTTTACTACTTGTAAAAGGGAATACTCAGGTTTTCACGCTTCATGTTCTGGAAAGTACTAGTAGCTGAACTGTAAAATCTTGCTTTTCCTGTAAGTTACACAGTGATGTACTTGCAAAGGTAGTATCTTTTCTTTCTCTTTAAAACTGGATTTATATTATGAAAGCAATTGCTTTCCACACTTTTTATTGACTTATATCTTCATAACTTAGCTAACTTTTTTTTTGGAACTGGCTTTTCATTAAAATACATGATGCCACAGTAATTCTCTTGGTTGTTCATATTTTGATAAGACTCCATGTTGCCAAAGTAATTCTGATTATGCTTTTAAAAATCTCAAATAAGCAGAATGTGGTGATAGCAAATGTTTTGTGCTGTTTTGGATGGGTGAGGAAGGAGGACATACATATGTTTGAGAAAAGGGAGACAAGTTTCTATGCGCTTCAGACCTGATTCTAGCACCTTTGTTTAGTATGATAGTACTGATAAGCACTATTTTGCAATGTCCTTATTGATTTGCTACAGAACAGCAAATGTAAACAAAGGTCAGTAATCCTGCCAATTTAGGTGCAACACTAGGCTTTGTTTGATTACTCCCTCTGGCTTTTATGTAGGTAAGCCAAGACGTACAAAGGAAATATATGTTTCACCAGACCCATTTGATCTGAAGTGAGTTTGGTTTGAAATTATTTTTGCTTTTTGGAATTTGTCTGCTTTGCTGTCTTTTCCTAGAGAATTTATAGTCCCAAGGCTGCTTTGCCAACTGAGGATATCTCTACTGTAGCAGTTAATAAAAGTTTTTCGATGCATGGACTTCTTGACAATAGACCTATCTTAATGACCTATTGTGGACCCAGGGGCTTCAGGAGCCTCAAAGTAAAAAGTGTTGTCCTACTCCAGTATTTCAGCCAGATCATCTGCAAACTCTGACTGATGGTGACCATGTCATAGGAACCAGTAGAAGTCTGTTATAATTCCTTCAAATATAGGTGGTTAACCATTAGCAGTTATCTAAAATAGCATTATATGCACATATACAGTGAAAAAGCAGCTAGAAGTTTGTGTGGGAGAAAACAATGTAAGAGTGAAAACCGTGACACAGGAATAGTAAAGCTACACACCCATACAGAAGTTCTCTGTATCGTTTGATGGCTTTAGTACAGAGAAGCAGCTGTGTGGAATAACAAACTGTTGTTCCTCTGAACTTACCACTGAGTAAAGAATCCTCAACACCAAAAAAATGAGACCCATGAATAAGCAATGAGCTGTCAGCTGAAAGGAAGCAATGAAAAACTAGAAAGAGAGAGAAAAATGAAGAGCATTAGGTGCCAAAAAAGAAAGTGCCAAAAAAATTGGGATCTGTCAGATTGGTACAAGCAATGATCCCTAGTTCCTCATTAGTTGCATATACAAAGCATGTTGCCAGAGTCCTTTGATCCTACATTAATTTACAAAGTATTTTGATAAACACTTCATTATTTCCCTCAGATGTGCCAGTGGATGCAGGTAAAGGAGGAGGCCATGTCTAGGAGCAGTCATGTAATTAAGGCACAAAATACAACCAGAGATTCTAAAAATTTACTGAAATACATTTCTCGTATAATGCAACAATCAGACCAACAGTCATTATTCCTTCTAGGACTTCTATAGATCACTGAAGAACATAATTTTCTAGATTCAACAATTATTTATATGTGATACTAATATTATAGAAATGGTAAATGTACTTCATTGTTTTTATGCAGTGCAAGTGACATTGAGGAAAACCTGTGCAATTATCCAGCTGTACTTACACCGTTAAGGGAGGTCATTCTGGATCACAGGTAAGTCAGATAAATATTTTGACTTTGCATATTTGGATACAGAGCCTGTGGTCAGCAGTTGGTATTTGGCATGCAACTGCCTACTTTATCCATTTTTATGCACTAACTAATTTTCTTGATGTAGGGATTTGAGGATGGCAAAATAATTTCATAAATTATAAGCAAAAAAAATAATCTGTTTCATCTACTTCATTCTGGATAGCCATTGCATAAAAACTGTCAAAACCATATTGCTCTGGCTTCATCCCTGCTGCAGTTCCATTGATTACAGTGGAGTTAAATCGAAGATGAATCTGTCTGCTCAATTTAAATCTAATGATTGGTTAAAAAGTCAGGGGGGAGAGCCCTGTCTAAATCCAGGGCTGTTTTATCCTTGTGTCAGCATTTAATTCCATTTGCATATAAGCCTATTTCCCTTCTCTAAATTTAATTTGTTAGAGCTTGGCCCTCAGCAACAACAGCAACAACAAAGTAATTGCATGCACTATTGGGCAATGGTGCCAATACAGCATGTGCTATAAAAATGTCTCACACAAATTTATAAAATGTAGTCATTAGTGACTTTCTGCCTGGCAACAGCAGTATCTGGATATTTGAAAAAACCCCAACCTTGAGCTACCTCATGGACATGCGACATCTAATAATACACATATGAAGAAGCTTTTTTTAATATCAATTATTAATTGTGGCCATTTCACCAAAGGAAATGAGATATCCATGTCTTATATGACCAATAGGAACATCCTAGAGTTTCACCGAGACAAGGTAAAACTGGCTGAGGCTTAGTTCTTAGGCTGTGCTAGATGTCATCTGTGCCTTTTCATAAGTTACTTTTGCAGTATGACTTAGCAGGCTTGTTTTAAATTGGGGAGAAGTGGTTGGCATTGTCACAATATACCTGGTTTCTTTAGCTGCTACACTCCACTGCAGTACTATTCACTATGTTCTCATATCACCTATCCTAAAATTCTCAGCCCAATCTTCATTTAGACCTTTCACCTGGACATTTTACAATAAAAAGACTTTTATTGTTAAACTTGACCTGATCAACAGTCATTCCAATTCAATTGTTCTTCCAAAGGTAGTGCTACCTGCCTCAAGTTTATAGGATCCTTTATTCTCATTTTCCCTATCCTGAGTTGATTGCACACAAGATGAAAACACCAAAATCAAACCATTTGTTAGGATTTAATTTGAGTTTTTCTTTCTGCTTCAAAAACTAGATTTTTCACTATACATTCCGATGCATTAAAACTAATCATGGTCATAAATTCTTACATCTTGTCAATTTTGCACAACTTCACTGTCTATGAGGAAGAGATCACTTCAGTTTCACCATTTGTGGACAACAGACACTGATGCCAAGGGGTAAGTACAGTGTCCTGGGGCACTGTGCAATATTGTACAGATAACAGAGCCTGGACGAGAAACCAGATTTTCTGTGTTAGAGCTGCGTGGTGTGGGCCTAAGGTCATGCTGTGCATATAATGTAATAGAAGCTCACAGAGAGTGGAAAATAAACACGCATCTTCCCACTTTTTGATCTCTGTGTTTAGATAAATCACATTATTTCCTAATGTATCAGATGTTTTTTGATATGCATTGTTCTTCATAGGGACAGGAAAGCCTGCTGTTACCCCTGTTACTTGCTCCCATTACCTCTTGATGCACTTGCATCCTATCCTCAGGAGGATTAGAGGGCACTCAGGACCTTTCAAGAGGCACTTACCACTTTACAGGATTAGGATAAGCCTGCCTTTGATGTTTTTGTGATCACACCCATCTGTCATAACTGAACATGGTGAAGTAGGCTTTATTTTTATTTAATGTTCTAATTATGTTTAAAAGGTCAAATATAAAAATATTTTTTCTTTGTCTCTCTTTCCTTAAAAAATCAGTGGGGATATGTTGATTTTTAATACAGATGCTAGTGTTGAAAACTGAAAAAACCCCACAGTTAGAATCAACAAATAAAGATGAGGTTTCACCTGATTTTAAAGTTTAGCAATTGTACTCCATGTCATACTCCTTCCTCTTCTTCCATCCATATATTCATTACAAATGTCAGATAAGGCTAATCCTTCATGTGACATTACTACAGATGGTTACACAGGGGACTTAAACCAGATGCTGATAGTCTGGATAATCTGGATAAAAGCTGGTAACCTAAACCAAATCCATTTTGTGTATTACTGATGCTAACAGTTAAGATATGTATAAAATTTTTATTACCCTTTAACACTTTACTTAACTTTTGTTTTCCTATTTCTGTAACTAGAAGGTTTTTGTTTTGGAGGGTTTTTTTCTACATCTCCCACTGTCCTTCTACTTCAGATAAATCATGCACGTATGTATGTAATAAACAAGATTTGGGAAGGGGAGGGATACTTTCTAGATGGGAATGAATACTAAGTTTAGCTTTTGTTTTAAAATTCCCATTGGGTTGAAAATTGGCACTTTTCAACTGACACTTGTGAAAAGCAACTTTAATTTACTTTTATATGAAGAGGTTTAATGAATGTATTAGCAGAAAAAAAGTAACTTCATTCTATACTTTTAAAGAGTCTTTGAAGTTCAGTGGTTAGGATGGGAGCTGATAGGAGTCTCTGTTGGTGAGTGGCTTAGACCTCTGACCAGAGTTGGAACCCATTTTTCTGTCTGCTCAAAAATAGAAACATCCTATCTTAAATGGGATTTACTTTGAATATTATGTATACTTCTATTCTTTCATTTAGTAATGGTGCTTGTATTCTGAACTTTGGGATTCATGAAGACTAGTTAGTCTAAGAAGAACTCTGTAACTCTGTGTATGTGTGCATGTGCACATGTGTGTTAAGCAGTTATTTGCATGAGAAATTCTGTGACATAAACATGCTTAACCACAGTAATGTAGACAACACTCAGAATATGTGTCATATTGTGCCATACATTATCCCATATTCTTGTGAAACAGAAGGATTCCAACATATAATAGATTTAAATGAAAAATAGGCTGGCTGTTTAAATCTGAGAATGTGAAACAGCAAGTTTAAACTAATCAAAGTAGTGAAGTGTGGTTCTGACAGGGGCAAAAATCCCACAATGGTTAGAGGCCAGGATTTCAGCTTGAAGTGTCTGTATCGAAGATACCATTCTGATACCATTTCCCTTCACTTCCTTCTTCACCTCCCAGGGCTTTTGTGCTTGTGTTTGAGATGAAGTAGAAATGTGAATTTTTATTTTATTCCTGGTTGAAGGACTTCAGCAAAGGAAAAGGGAGAGAGGAAATAAATGTGCGGTGTTGCATCTAGTGATCCTTGCTTGCTTCTGACTGTCACTGAATGCTGCCTATGGCTAGAGGAATTGGAGAGGAAAATAGTAGGTTATTGTTTGATGCTTAATATAACGCTATTTTGGGCTCTTTTGGCTGTTTCTTTTTTTTTTTTTTAATAGGTTGTGCCTCTAAGTTGGTCACTAGTCTGAAAGTATAGGAAAATAAGTTTACCAAGAACCTGAGCTATGCAACTACTGTGTATCTTTTCATCTATTACCTATCACACTTGAGATTTATATTAGGGTAAGCAACTTGAGCAGGTTCCCATACAGTAAATGAGCTATGGTCTAATCTGATCTCCCTGTAATCCAGTGAGCTCTGAGGGCAGTGGTCTGGAGTATGGTTTATGGAGCATGGTTTCTGTGATTCTCTTCTTAACTTGTTTTGCCCCTAGTGGGTACTACAGGAACAGGTAAAGAAGTCAAGGTCCCTGGTCAGCCTAAGCATGTGGAGTACTGATGTTTGAATACTGGGATTTAATACAGCCTTCTGTTGCCAGTCAAAGCTCTTAGGTGCACGATCCTCACAGTCTTCAGCAGGATATCCAGTAGTAGTTAGTAATGTCTCTCTCTCTTAGAGTCCTTACTGCTTCACTGATTCTAGAAGTGTAGAGATCACACCATTGGCCTAAGTTAACACAGTTCTACTGAAATCAGCAGAATCCAGATGACTTAAGCCAGTAGAAAACCTTGATCCTTTGCTTCCTGTATAGAATGATACAGCAGTAACATGTAGTGCTCACTGTGGGTCAAATAATTCTCAGCAAATTGCTGAAAATGTTTAGAAGAGTAGTCTGTCATTACATCTTAGAGCATACTGCAAGGATATCTGCTGCAAACCTTCTGCAGGGAGGTGAAGGAAGACATATTGTCCAGATATTTTCTGTTCTTACTATACTGTGATCAAATACAATCATAATTGTTGTTCATTTTGGGGTCATAAACCTTTATAGTGAAAGAGGGGGTGAATACTTTGGTCTGAAAGGTTAGCTGAAGGAAGATGAATTATTGCGACAGATGCAGACAGGTGAAAGAGGTGAGTAATTATGTGAAATGTTGTGAGCAAGGAGTGAAACTTCTACAATTATGTGTTTTGTGTCAAATGAGGTTTTGGTAGGTTGATACACATTACACTAAATGTTATGATTAATAGTAATAATGTTATCTTAATATTTGTGGTAATCAAAGAGTGGAAGCAATAACTGGATCTAATTGATAAGAACATTTGACTGACCCTTGACAATTACGTCTTTAAATGTAAATTTTTAGACTGTGACTTTAAGCAGTAGCAGTTCCTTGATGATTTATTTTAGAGGCTTACAAAAAGTATGAAAATAGAGTAACATTCTATTATTGACCATATAGGTGTGGTTGAAAGACCTGTGCATGGGGCTACCATCTGTTGCATGTTAGAGGAAATGCCCAGTTCAGCAGAAATATTTCTTTGCATGTTGTAGGCCTGGAAATGCCATTTCAGCACTGTGAAATCTGATACATCAAGACTTAAACGTCACTTCCAGAAATGCTGTTTAGTGGAGCGTGTGTGTATGGAAATGATGTCCTGGTATAAAGAGGGTCCTGGGTTATGGGTATTTTATGAGCCACATATCTCTAATTCATATTTTGCTTTTGAAACATAACACATGTTCTAGCTGCACTGATATGGGTTCTTGCTTATTATAGTTAAT